GGCCTCCCAGAGTGCTAGGATTACAGGCGTGAGCCACCGCGCCCGGCCTTCTTTTTAATACTTTTAAAACCACTCATTATATCAGCATTGCCTTCAGAGGATTCCATCTAGTTTCAGATGTAATACTCCTAAGCCTCCACTAGGAGGCGAAAAAGTTTGTTTAAAAAGCCACAGGTAACAATCCGACAAACTACATGTGACAAGCACTTAAGAATTTCACTCTCAATCCACCCATTTATTTTAAAGTACCACTAACTAGTCACTATACTAATGAATGGAAGCTTTCCTTTTCCAAATTTTCTGGTTCATCTATAGTGTAATACAGTCCACAATTTTATAAAATGTGATCTAAATTGTGCATGTGAAGCAAGCTTTAATGGAAAAACTAATTCAAAACAGGGTCAAGAAATGTACAGAATAAAATTTTGCTTACCATTTTTGCTTCTGACTGTACTGGTTGAGGGGAGGAAGGACCTGGGATTCCTGGAACACTAGGCACCATGGTGACTGGTCGAACAAGCTATGCAAAAAATATTGAAAAATAATTACTAGAGAATATGTTCAAAATGAGATTTGTGCTTTATTTGCATGATAGCTGTTATAAGATCTGTAACACTTACATTTTGAATTTGAAAGGAAAAAATGTCAAAACTTGTGACAACTAGGCATAAAAAATAATTTTAACAATGAATTTTTGCTTTTCTAAAATGTACATACAAATTTTCTAAAATATATAAGTTCTTTGATATGTTAATATACTGCATAATAACAAAGAAGCTGATGAGCTCTAATAATTTCTCTCTTTTTTTTTTTAAAAAGAGACAGGGTCTCTCAGTGTTGCCCAGGATGGAATGCAGTGGCTATTCACAAGTGTGCTCCTAGCACTGATCAACACAAGAGTTTTGACCTGCTCGGTTTCTGATCTGGGCTAGTAAACCCCTCCTTAGGCAACTTGGTGGTCTCCTGCTCCCAGGAGGTCACCATATTAGTGGCAAACTTAGTGCAGACTGCTAATCAGTACAGTGTACTACAACCCAGAACTCCTGGATGCAGATAATCCTCTGTCTCGACCTCCCAAATAATTGGGGCTATAGCTGCACACCACTGCACCCAGCAATTTCTCAAGTAATAATAATCTAAAATAGATTTTACCACTTTGGTTTGTGCCTTTATTTTTTTGAACCTAACACTGAGTAAACAGGAAGTATATACATGAAATATATCTCTTCTTTCAAGTTGCTGTCATCACAGGTACATTTAACAGGATAACCATATAACCTCAAATACAAGGCAAGAATGTTTCTCCCTCAAAAATATCCTCAAGAGGAAGCAAACAACTTATATTTGCGTCCTTACAAAGTTTTTCAATGATTTTGAACAAAGTTCTGTTTAAAGAAGACACATTA